ACGTGGTCAGCTAAATATTTCAAGAGGCAGGGGATATGACAAAAGCCTTCCACTTGTACTACAAAGCCTCGCTGTAACTGTGTCACACAACGCCTCGACTGAACCATTCCCACTACTCTTTATTCTGTGATTTAATGAAATATTTTGTAATGTCGACTTCACATGAAGGCCTACATCTGTTACAGTTCAGAACACTCCCAGGCAGAGACGCTGTGTTTTCTGAAGCTGTGTGAGAATATCATGAGGCGCTTTTACACCACAGTACTTTTCCCACTTTAGTTCCGATATAGTTCCGAAATGTCGCGTTACCCCCTTTTCCGTTAAAAGAGAGCAGGGACTTTCGTGGCAGAAAAAGGTTCCTATGTCTGATTGGCTGGGCGGATTGCAAACCACGCCCCGTAAAACTCCAAAAAAGTTTTGTGAAGCCGCCATTTTATTATCCTCGCATTAGCATTAGCATTAGCCCAGCGCACTGGGAGTCCCAGCAGCTTCTGCTGAAGCCAGTCCCCAACTCCGGGGACTTCCGGCCGGGGACTTCGGGTGGCAGTATACGCCGTGAAGTTGTTTGCGGCCTGCCAGTAAACCCAAAGCAGAAGAAAAAGTGGCGTCAGCGGCTCATTTGCGTAATCTTCCCTCAGGGAAAAGTACTCCGGTGTGAACGCGATCTGTACTAAATGCCCTGAGGTAATAAGTGCCGGGGCACTGAGTGCCGGCACTAAATACGGCAAAGTACTTGGTGTGAACGCGGCTATTATTGTTTTTCTGAAGCTGAGAATCCCTTTAATTGTATTTTTAACTTTTATCCCCATTTTTAGTGCCTGCTGAGAGATGGTACTTTCCTGGGGGAAAAAAGTGCCCCAGTTCTGATTGGCTGGGCGAATTGCAAACCACGCCCCGTACAACTCTGAAATGTTTTGTAGAGCCGCCATTTTATTATCCTGGCATTAGCATTATTAGCATTAGCATTCGCCCAGTGCACAAACGCAGAGAGACTAACTTATGGCAACACAAAATAAAACATGGGAGCGGTGGAGATGAGGAGGTGTCGGCGTTCTGGCGATTTACTCGGAAGGCTTCAGTAGAAGCTGCTGGGAGTCCCAGCAGCTTGTACTGAAGCCTTCCCCAACTCCGGGGACTTCCGGCCGGGGACTCCGGGTGGCAAGAAACGCCGTGAAGTGGTTTGCGGCCTGCCAGTAAACCCAAAGCAGAAGAAGACGAAGTGACGTCATTTGCCTAATCTTTCCTCAGGGACTTATTCCAGTGTGAACGCGATCTGTACTTAGTTCATGAGAACTAAAGAGTTCTGATTAACTTAGTTCTGATGAACCTTTGTGGGGAAAGTACTGCAGTGTGAACGCGCCTATGGCTGATATTACATCATGGCTTTAAAGTGAGGGGGAGTTTTCAGGATCTAAGAAGTGTTGCTCTGACGGTGTGAAGACACATGCTTGAGATTCCTGGGGGTGGGGCTTTTTGATAATGAATGGTTAGCACTCTGGCTTCAAGGAGGTGGAGGAGGAGGAGGAGGAGGAGGAGGAGGAGGAGGAGGAGGAGGAGGAGGAGGAGGTGGAGGAGGAGGAGGAGGAGGAGTGGGAGAATTGCTTTCAATATACACACAAAAAGCTTCCCATCCAAAATCACTTACAGAGAGACGGGTCAATGTCAGAAACAAGTCAGAATGTTTGATATTGCTAAGTGGGTTTCAACAAATGAGGAATGTGTCTTGATATTAAAAAAAAGTTCAGCTGTTGTAAAAGCTTTCTGTTCTTTTACTTCTGAAATGAAAGACACAAGGTACAATGAAACCCTGCGGCATATAAATCCTGATGGGTCAATACATTTATTTCAAGGTATTTTATTTGGAAATAACAAATATAATCCATGCACAGCTAACCGGTCTGCTTCTTTCTGTTGATGTTTCATTACCCAGATGTGTCTTGTAACAAAATAAAAGGTATACAAATATAAAATGAATATAATATTTTAATATAATGGTTAGTTTTCTGTCTGTAAATAAGCTTTCTTTTGGTTTTCCCACCATTTCAATGCAACTATGACCACCAGAAGAGTCCAAAATTGCACTCAATTTGTTTGAAAATGGTTCCGCAGGCATCTCTCTCAAATGATATGGTCGTAAAGGGTTGTGTGAAGTTCAATTGGGTATAATGCACAACCAGCTTTCTGCTAAATGCATGTTCATTTGGAGGTGAAGCTGTAAAGATATATACGTATCTTGATTTATAAATGCATCAGTATTCTGTTACAATGTTGTTGCCAGGTTTTATCAACGGGCAAAGACACATGTCAGGAAAGTATCACCGTTGAGAAGTCCAACACATTGTTTTGATTATAAAAAAGAAAACGTGTCACCAAGTTTTGAGGTTTTTGTGTCGTTCCCTTTAGGGGTTAGATGTTTATTAATAGTAATCCACTCACACTGAGATGTGAGGAATCATTATGAATAAACCCTTCCTGCAGGGAGAATGTTACACTAGCTTTCCCTCGGAGCATATTGAGTTATTGGGGTTAATTAATATCCCGCATAGCTCTGAATTTCACTCGTTAAGAGATTCAGTTAAGATTACAACAATCATATTTACAGTGTGTTTCATCATTGTTGCTGAGATAGTGGGTCATATTGGGTTCTTCAGCGATCCTGCTGCTTTCCCGCCTACAAACGTACTTTCCTTAAGCTTTGTGCAAACAATCATTTTGTTCTATAACGCTGAACAACCGAGCAGAGAGAAAGCAGCGCCTTGCTCCCTCAGCTCCGTTAGGCAGAGGGTCAAAGTCAGACATTCAACATGGCCAAATATCATTTACTGCAGCCGTCATTACATTCCTTCTGAGACACAGTTGTAATGTCAAAGAATACAAATGAAATGAATAATGATGCTCTGAGTAAACAAGAAACCACTTAAAGCTGATATGGCAGTGTAGGAGGAATGATAGAGAAGTAGAAAATACAAGAAGAAGAAGCAAAGTGATACGACTAATGGCTGTTGTTTGTAAGATAATATCATGACACTCTTATTCCTTTCATTTGAAATGATGCTCATATTCTGCATATATGGCCCAAAACCAGGGGAAGGGAGTGATCCTGCAGACATGAGAAGTCCCTAAAGTGGCAACACATATATATCTAGTTACAACATTTTAAATAACACTGCAAAACATTATGGCAATGTGAAAGGAGATGCTCACAAGCACAAACTACTCCCTCTGGCTTCACAGAGCGAACAAGTGACTTCAGCTCATTGTTTATCCGTCTGTCCGACAACTTTACTGTTCTGGTTCCCTCCCACCACTTGTTTACAGCCACACACATCAGCAGTGTACCTCTAAAAACACTGTACACTATACCTACTCAACAGCAAACAGCAGTTAGCAAACAGCTGGTGAACATCGTGGAGCATTTAACACCTGAAGAGTCCCTGAGGAGATGGAGGGGACCAAACATGGAGCAACAAGAGAGTTTCAAGTGATGATGGTGGGAGTAATGGAGGGTAACACTGATGATACCCTGTCAAACATATCTTTATAATCACATCAAATGATAATAATCAAATGAAAATGAAGGATTCTGACATTTTCTGGCTGTATAAATGATCTCTATTATTTTTAGATTGATGGTCTGTGCTCATAAAATGCAGACATGTTGAATGCATCTGCAGTCTGAGAACAAATTGCATACATTTAAACTCAACCGGCCCTTTTATTCCAGCACTAAAGAAGTCAACTGAATACATGAAATACTCTTTTAATGCCTTTTCATAATTCATCATGGTTAATGGCGGAGCGTTTATTGATTTCACTGATGTTTAGCAGTTATTCAAACATAATGAGAGTATCCTTCAAACGGCATGTTAAATATTTAGCAAACGTTTCTTAGAAAATAAGCACCAGCTGCATGTTGCCGTAGTCATCACCAGTACATAGACATGTGCACCGTTTAATAAGTAAATGTGAGAAATAATCAATACTATGTTTGCCCACATTAAGGCCTCTTTTATAATACTGAATATTTTGGAAATTCACTTCAATATGTGATCAACAAACTTCAACCTGGGTGACTTTTACACACAAAATGCTTTGAGCTGCACTTCACTGCAAATGATTCATACAATCCCTGGATGCTAAGCCACCACTTCAAACAGTAACCGTACAGAGCTGCTTTACTTTAACCTGTCGTCTCCCTTTTATCTCACCTGACTTTAATTACTCCTGGCACATCACTGCGCTCAGTAAAGGAGCAATTAATGAGAAGGATAAAATATGTGATTACATGCTCATTAGGCTCTTTAGACATAAAATGAACATAAATGGCGTTGCTATGCATGTGCTGGAAAGACGGAGAATATGACATTAATTCGTGTTACATAGCGTTTGGCATCACTTACATACGCATGTGCCTTTTGAAAATGCCGTAATTAATTATGAGGTAAAACCCCGTTAACTAATTATGCTGCTTTGAATGAGGCTGATTATGAAGACTGTGATGAAGACATCCCGTGCTGTGATAATTGTTTCATTAATGAAGGGCTATTTGGACGTTTAAATCCCATATATAAGCCTTTCCAGTGGGGACTTCACAAGATGCAGCATCCACACTGCAGAGCTGTGTTTACATGCAGCACTACAGCCTTAAGCCCGAGCCTTGGACAAATTGCAGACGATTATGTGTGAGCATAACTATAAAGGGAGATATAAGACTGCAGTTCATGACAGCAGGGACATGACTAATGTTGTCTGAGGTCTACCAGGAACCAGGCAAATCATTTATTCACCAATAACTCTTGTGTACATGATTGCATGGAAACAGGAGCGTTCTTAGAATGAGCTTCTGCTGTGCATGTAAACAGCTTGATCATTTTTTTTCTCCCTAAAGGGTAGACGTGTGAATGCAAACACATTAAAATTGACATTCAGGATGGAATGAACTTGGAAGCAATCAGGAAACACAGAGCGTCTCATCAGTATACATGTAAAAGGACACTTACCTGAGGGTGAACTGCTCCACAGTGGAGTTGGGCATCAAGTAGAGGGAGATTTGGAGCACTTCCCCCGGCTTCAGGGGCTTTTCGGGCAGCCTGAGGAACATGTTCTTGTCCAGCTGCTTGTCCACCAGCAGCTGCTCCTGGCTGGCCTGGTAGAGGCTGATGCTCCCGATGCGCAGCAGGGGGTGCTGTGACAGAGGTTCTCCCCTGGAAGCGCCTCCACCCCTGTGCCCTAACCCCTCAATGCACTCCCCGTCCACATTGGGCCCGTGCAGGGTGTAGTAGAGCTCCGCCTGCAGGGTCTCACTGGTCAACCCGTCCAGGAGCCCGTCCGTCGAGCCTTTCCTCCGACCCAGCGGCGCCACGTTGGTGTTAAACCAGGACGGAGGTAGCTCCAGCTGCGCCAAACACTGCGCCAGGTTGCCCTTCATGCGGCAGGACGTTTTAATCTCACGGACATCCCGGAAGGCGTGCAGACGGACGCAGGGAAGCTTGTCCTGAGCCTTGAAGTCGTCCCAGTCGCGCCCGGCGATGTAGAAGAACACCTGCAACGTGGGGTTGTTGGAGAACACCCTCGCCTGGACAATAAACGCCCGCACCTTCCAGTTGACCGTCAGCTGTCCGGGGATATCCAGCGGACTCGTCGGCTGCAGCAACTCTTTGGACAGAGCCTGGTCCCGAGCAAAAGGCCCAAAGGTTATGTTGATGGCAGGGAGCTCTTTTGTCTGGAAAACCACAAAGCTCTCCGAGCGCTGCAGCGGGTGTCCAGAGCTCGGGTTGCTCCTGCCGCCAACTGTTGGTCCTGAGATCTGAGCCTCCCGTAGGAAGAAGGCCAGTTGTGCATTGGACATTTTGAAGTTGGCGGGAAGGTACACATTGGGAGGCGAGGGGTTGGCCGTCACTGCTGAGAAGCTGAGGAGAGCATCTGAGCTGGTGGGAGAGATTTTACCTGCAAGAGCTGTGGAGAGAGGAAGGAGAACAAGAGAGGTTACACATTTGAATGCAGTCTCTTTTTTAAACAGAAAGAGTACAACAATATATGTAGAAAAGAGAGGTTCATGAACCCAAACGATGAGGAAGTCACCGCTCAGTCAGCCGCGGAGAGTAAAGGGGAGAAGGTCAACACACACTAATCACATGATAAGTGGTCAATACATGTCAAGCATCCAGAGCACAGGCTACTCCATGAAACATGTTGAAATTATCAAACTCCATGTGAGCTTTGACTGAGCTGCACTATTCAACAGTTTGAACAGGAACACACACAAAGCTGTTGAAATCTTCTTAAAAATGACAAAGATACAAACTACTGTAACAAGGGAAATGAAAGTCTGACCTACAGGATGAAACAAGAGTGTGTCTGGATAGTGCATACTAGGCTAAACGTGGTACAATGCACTGCACTGCACTTGTTGCAATAGACGAGCCAACGTAGCTTACAGCAGTGAAATCAAAGCAGGACAAAATCCTCATACGGAATAGGTCAGAATAAATGTGACATACTTATCAAAATGACCCAGAGCTGAGTAACAAAACATAGTTTCCTGTCCCCATGGTCCAAATCATAGATTAAAAGTCCCATATTCCAACTGGTGTTATCATTGAGATCGCATCCTTGAAAAAAAGAAACAAATCTCTTTGGATCCCCCCTTAAAAGAAGAAAGGTCCTCTTCAGAAGGTTTGGGACTCGGCGGGCGCTCCACAGAAGTTTCCTTTCTGTTGGTTCTCTTTAAAGAATCGTTGTCATGAGTTGGAAAAGAAGATTAAATGAGTGCGATAGGAGACAAAACGAGGCAGTATGCTCCAGCAGTTCTTCACTCGGTCTCGTAACTGGCTTACAAAGGTCCCAACGAGGCTTCTTGAACTTGTGCTTGTCTTATTCCCGGTGGTTCAGGTCCCGGTTTAAGAGGTTCAGCCCCGTGCAGTAGCAGCTCTTTCAACCCCTGACTGAGACCCAGGACACACTCTGATAGACAGGCAGAGCCTCCTCCCGGTTGGTGGGATGTACGGGAACTATAGACAAAGCCTTTGACGCCGCCCCATCTTGCCACACCTAGTCTCTCTACTCTATAATCACCATTTTGGCTCCCGGTCAGAGCTAAGACACACAGCCCCCTCAGAGGACCCGACTTACACCCCACACACACACACACACATATGGAGGCGAAATAAATAACACTCTGCAGCTCGATTCATCCTCTCCCTCTGGACGTGTTCAGGCAGACTCTTATGTGTGTGTGTGTGTGTAAGGGCTGTGGGTGTGTGTGTGTGTGAGGTGGGGCGGGGGATGGATGTATTGCTTGAATGCCTCCAGGCAGAGAGAGCGAGAGTGAGAAGGAGACTGTGAGAGGGAGGGATTAGGTAAAGATTATTGATGAATTAGCCTAGCTCTCCTTCCCTTCTCCTCCTACTTCTCCTTCTCTTCCCACCTCTTCTTCCTCTTCCTCCTCCTCCTCCTCCTCCTCCCCCCCTCTCGTCTCCCTTAGCCCCATGAGAAATCTGTGAGAAATAGGGGATACCGGCCGGAGGGGGAGGGGTATCAGGACCGCCTCCCTGCTTCACTCACATGTGCCTGGAATTCCCATAATAAAAGAGAGGGATCCACGGATGTGTGTGTGTGTGTGTGTGTGTGTGTGTGTGTGTGTGTGTGTGTGTGTGTGTGTGTGTGTGTGTGTGTGTGTGTGTGTGTGTGTGTATGTGTGGGCCCCATAAACTGAATGGCAAACAGTGGGGGCAACAAAAGATGGGAGCCACAGCCGGGGAAACATCCCACACTTACAAATGAGCAGTCGTAGCCATAGAGAAGGCGCGAGGAACTAATGATGAGGAGAGCTACTTAGAGGCTGTCTAGTCTTTATCGACCAAAGGCTCTCTACCACGCAGGAATGTTGGTGTGTGTGTGTGTGTGTGTGTGTGTGTGTGTGTGTGTGTGTGTGTTGGGAAAACAGAGCTGCTCTTGCCTTGATCAACATTAAACGCGACAAATATGCACAGCAATCCACGGTCTTCCTTAAGGGCTTCTCTACCAGAGCGCCATCTGCTTCATTCTCCTGGGTCAAAAGAAAACGCACAGCCTCTTTTCAAATCTCCCACTGTTACTGTATATTTTAGCAGTCACATGACAACACAACAAAAGTGTGAGACTCTACTACTAACCCTAGCCTCAGGAAAGGATAGAGAATGCACCTCACGCATAAGGATATACTCCAAGCATGCCTGCCAATGTTAATAGGAACGCTCTATATGATTTTATCGCGGCTTCCTTAAAGAAAGGAGACGTTGGAGCTGCTTTACAGACCACTTTACTCCATCTCTCTCTCAATGTCTTGAGGCAGGATTTGCCTAGAGCGCAGACAAACCTTGAATCTCCCAACCTGCTGGTACATTTAAAAGTGAGTGTGTAAAATTGTTTCCCCTGCCTCCCAAAACTACTGTCAACGTGTCCTTGAGCAAGGCTCTTAAGGAAATGCATCTCCATGTGTTCCACAAGCAGCTGCTGCTGGCCAAACAGCCCGAAACAAAATGGTTTCCAGCTTGCTTTTTAATGGTAATTTAGTTTTGAGGCAGTTTGTCTGTGACTTGGAACTGTTGCTTCTCTCGCCTGCATCTGCTCGATTTAACACAATGTGGCTGTAGGGCAACATAAGGAAACTTAAGGTAGAAAATGTGACTCCTAACAGCTTGCTGACATCACATGCCATACAATGTAACTGTTGGATCAATGAGGACGTGAGAAGCATTTGGGAAACGAATACTGTTGGATATTGATAAGATACACACAAATAAGTCAGATCAAAGGATAACATCTCTCCACAGAGGATTATGCATTCAGTTTTTCACTACTTTCCCGGCTTGATTCAAAATATTATCCAAGTAATAAGATTTACATTTGTCAAACAAGTTTGCAATGTGCTGTTTATCCCTTTGGCTGTGACTGTATTGAACATTTTTAAAACAAATTCATAAGAGACAATATGTATGCTTTCAACAATATATAGGCATTTTCTACAACCACTTCATCTTCAAATCTAAGTATCAACATGTTTTGAACCATGGAGGAAAAGTCCAATATTTCCATTATGTCTTCAACTTCAACACTGATAGGTGTCCCACAAATATGGTGTCTTCAATGTCTTTTTCACCACGAACAGAAACAAACAGAAGACATTCGATTAGTCTCATGTTTACCTATATGGTCACTTATATACTACATTGTGGATTACATTGTTCACCTCTATCAAACCATGACTCCTGGTCCAAAACATAACAAATGATTGCCGTAAACTTCTCTCCAATATCCAATAGGGTGACTCCACTGGTTGCAAAAATAAGTCAGAATAGCCGCGTTCACACCGGAGTACTTTTCCCCGTACTTTTCCCGTTTAGTTCCGTTAGTACCCCTTATGTCGCGTTCACACCAAAAAGAGTACTGAGTGCCGGGAACTTTTACCCCCATTTTTAGTGCCTGCTAGAGAGGTGGTACTTTCCTGGGGGGAAAAAGTGCCCCAGTTCTGATTTGCAAACCACGCCCCGTACAACTCTGAAATGTTTTGTAGAGCCGCCATTTTATTATCCTCACATTAGCATTATTAGCATTAGCATTCACTCAGCGCACAAACGCAGAGAGACTAACTTATGGCAACACAAAAGAAAACATGGGAGCGGTGGAGATGAGGAGGTGTCGGCGTTCAGGCGATTTACTCTGAAGCCTTCCCCAACTCCGGGGACTTCCGGCCGGGGACTTCGGGTGGCAGTATACGCCGTGAAGTGGTTTGCGGCCTGCCAGTAAACCCAAAGCAGAAGAAGACGAAGTGACGTCAGCGGCTCATTTGCGTAATCTTCCCTCAGGGATTTATTCCGGTGTGAACGCGATCTGTACTAAGTGCCCTGGGGTAATAAGTGCCGGCACTGAGTACGGCAAAGTATTTGGTGTGAACGCGGCTATTGTATAGAAGTCTATGGAATCAGAATCAGAATCAGAAATGGGTTTATTGCCAGGTAGTTTCACACATACGAGGAATTTGACTTGATGTCATGGTGCACACATAAAATCTAAAAATAAAATAATAAAATCTCCATATAAATCTAAATCTAAAAAAAGGCCATACTTCTCACTTGATTTATAACCTCAGATAGCATTTTCCGTACAAGTTTATAGTCTCAACTCATGGTTTCAAATCTTCTTCAATACAGCATCATGTTCATTTTGGTAACAAAGGTCCCATTTATAGTAAAATGGACATACGGTCTGCTTTAGGGCACCTTGTGATAGACAGGGAGCTCAATGTGTTGTTTTCTCACTAAAGTAACCCTTTCACAGTTTGTTTTTACTTCCTTTTGTCTTGTCAACCTCTGAGACTGTGGACCAACAATGACACTGATACTTCCATGTTACGCCTGAAGGTCACCTGACTACCGCCCTGGAGTCTCCTAATCCCTTTAGAATGGAGTGAAATTGTACAATGACAATACATGCATTGAATGCCATCAAACTAAACAGATCTTTGGCCCTTCCTCTCACCCCCCAAGTCCTTATGGTGTCATTTGAGAAGGTGCTTACTGCCTACGATGCATCAGGGTGCTCTTTTCTCATTTCAGCAGAACAACATCACTGGTGGGTGGGTTGTCAGGGGAGCATGGACACAGATGGGCTTCCAGTGTGAAACCCTATCGCCTTCCGCTTCCACTTGATGTTCTATTAGACCTCGGGCTAAATTGAATTGAATTCTCTTCCTGTTGTGCTCCCATTACGTGAAACATCTGCTGTGTGTGTGTGTGTGTGTGTGTGTGTGTGTGTGTGTGTGTGTGTGTGTGTATGTGTGTGTGTGTGTGTGTGTGTGTGTGTGTGTGTGTGTGTGTGTGTGTATGTGTGTGTGTGTGTGTGTGGCGGTCTGGTCTAAAGGGCACTTTGTATTCATCAGATTACTTCGACTGATGTCAATTAATGAACGTATCTGG